GGGGAGTTGATCTTCCTCTTCTTCTTCCTTTGAAGTTCTCCTTGGTCAGAGGATTCTTCCTCTTCTTCAAGATTTATTGGAGCAAGATTCTGTGGTGCTTCAATGGAGGGAGACACCACTTTCTTCCTTTTGGTAGTCTTCGTCATATGGATGAGTGGGATGTTATCTGAAGAGCTTTCTTCTGCAGTGGCACTAGTACCAGCTCTGTTTTCCCCTTTTGAAGACAGATAATATAGCCAGTATCTTTCTTCATACTTCTTTCCTTTAGAAGCAATACCCATAGATCCCAAAATATGTCCAAGGTATAGTCCTTGACAGAGATATTTCTGGTTGGACTTTCCCAAATGCTTTGAGATGGAATTGAAAAAGTGTGCAGCCCAGTTTACCTTAGTTTTGGTAATGAGAGAGTTGATAATGAAGGCTCTCTCCTGGGTGATGTTATCAGCATGACCTCCACTTCCACACTCGAGGCAAGCGATGATCAGTTCCAAAACCAACTTATAATCGTTGTTTAGATCTGCTTTCTTCGCAGGGCCAGAAGGAGTTCGCCCAGAAATTCCAATGATGTTCCAGTCCAGATTTTTGACTGGAAATTTCCCAACTTCAACTCCAGAATTGGGAAGGCGAAGCTTTTCTCCCAATTTCTTCTGCGAAAGCTTCACTTTTGTACCTCCAACACTGGACTTGATGACTGGAAACGTCCTCTGTGGGTCCTTCTTTGAATGGGCAGTTTTGATTTCTCCATTTCTGTAGAATTCGAGAACTACTTCCTCGAATTTGAGGCGAATCTCCATTTGAAGAAATTCGGAGAGTTCTTGAGCGGCTATCATTTGCAGATAGCTTTGGAAGAATGTTGGTGAGGAGCACTTGGCTTCTAACTTCTGGAAGTGGACATTTGCTCCGACAACCTTCATTTTCTCAGAAATTTGGGTAAAAATTTGAGAAAGAAAGACCTAGGGTTCTTGCAAGTTCTTGAGAATTTTTCGCGAAGAAGATGACGAAGAATTTTTGAGTGGGCGGTTGAGATCTGAATAGTGGCGATTGGGTTTTAATGTGGGCGATTTATGCGGCTAGTGGCGATTGGATTTTTTAACTGTTCCCAAGGCCACGTCCTCACCCATCATTTTGACAGACGTGGAAAGTGAACTGCCAGGTGCACTACATTCAGTCTAATTGAATTAGGCCAATTTTGTGAAGCAAATTGGAAAACTTGGCTTCACTTAGTGGCTTGGTGAAGATATCCGCCAGTTGTTCTTCAGTTGAGATATACTCAATTTTGATATCTTTCTTTTCCACATGATCTCTGATGAAGTGATGCTTCACATCAATGTGCTTAGTGCGAGAATGATGCACTGGGTTTTGAGAGATGGCTATGGCACTTTGATTGTCACAAAAGATTGTCACTTCCTTTGTCTTGACTCCATAGTCCAGTAGTTGTTGCTTTAGCCACAAAACTTGAGCACAACAACTACCAGCTGCAATGTACTCTGCTTCTGCTGTTGATGTAGAAATGGAGTTTTGACTCCATAGTCCAGTAGTTGTTGCTTTAGCCACAAAACTTGAGCACAACAACTACCGGCTGCAATGTACTCTGCTTCTGCTGTTGATGTAGAAATGGAGTTTTGTTTCTTACTGAACCAAGAAACAAGATTTCCACCAATGAATTGACAAGTACCAGATGTACTTTTCCGGTCAACTTTGCATCCGGCAAAGTCAGAGTCTGAGTATCCCACTAACTCAAATGAATTGTTCTTAGCATACCACAAACCCATGTTCTGAGTTCCTTTGAGGTATCTAAGAATCCTTTTAGCTGCTATCAGATGACTTTCCTTTGGCTTTGACTGGAATCTGGCACAAACACCTACTGCATATGAGATATCCGGACGACTTGCAGTAAGGTAAAGTAGAGATCCGACAATCCCTCTGTAGAGAGTTTGGTCTACATCCTTTCCATCTACATCCATATCAAGCTTGGTGGATGTGCTCATGGGGACAGAAACGGATGACTTCTGATCAACTTTGAACTTCTTGATAAGATCCCTTGTATACTTCGCTTGGTTGATGAGGGTTCCTTCGCTTCTCTGTTTGATTTGAAGACCAAGGAAATAGTTGAGTTCTCCCATCATGCTCATCTCAAATTTTCCTTGCATGAGTGTTGAGAACTTAGTGCATAGATCTTCCTTAGTTGAGCCAATAATGATGTCGTCCACATATGTTTGGACCAATAAGAGATCTTCACTATCTTGTAGTTTGAACAATGTCTTGTCAATGACTCCTTTGGTAAATCCATTGTCTATAAGAAATTGAGACAATGTATCATACCAAGCTCTTGGTGCTTGTTTGAGTCCATACATCGCCTTTTTGAGTCTATACACTTGATCTCCCTTAGTATGTAACTCAAATCCTGGAGGCAGTTCTACATACACTTCTTCCTCTAGGTTTCCGTTGAGAAATGCGCTTTTGACATCCATTTGATAGACTTTGAAGTCCTTATGAGTAGCAAAGGCTAGAAACAGCCTTATAGCTTCAAGTCTAGCAACTGGAGCGAAGGTTTCATCAAAATCTATACCTTCTTCTTGACAATATCCTTTTGCAACTAACCTGGCCTTGTTTCTGACAACAACGCCGTTTTCATCCATCTTGTTCCGGAATACCCACTTTGTCCCAATGACATGTTGATGAGTAGGTCTGGGAACAAGTTTCCAGACATCATTTCTGGAAAACTGGTTGAGTTCTTCTTGCATTGCATTGATCCAATCAGAATCAGCTAGAGCTTCTTCAATATTCTTTGGTTCCACTTGTGAGATGAACCAAGCAAGCATAGCTTCTAGATTCTGTTGGGCACTCCTTGTGCGAACACCAGATTGAATATCTCCAATGATCTGTTGAGGAGGATGATCCCTTATCCAACGAAGATTGTGTTGATTGGGTATGACTGGTTGATCTAGTTCAGCTTCTGGTTGAAGAACAGAAGTTGTTGGTGTTTCCGGATGGATTGGCACTGAGTTGCCATTTCCGGAATTGTCGCTGTTTGAGATATCCGGAATATTGGAAGGTTGGCCAAAATTTCCGGAGGGCTCAGCACTGTCTGAATCCGGATTTCTCTATGAAATCTTCAGAGGCAGACTTCTGAATGGAATGAATTCCGTGGGCTTCATTCTATCTTCTTTATTGACTTCTTCATCCTTATCTGATAGATCCAGAACCTCATGGTCATGCTTTGATGGTTTGTCAACCACATGTTTTTCATCAAAAATAACATGTATTGACTCTTCAGTGATCATGGTTCTTTTGTTGAAGACTCTGAACGCCTTGCTTACCATGGAATATCCTAGGAAGATGGCCTCATCTGATTTCTCATCAAAAGTGTTCAGATGATTCTTCCCGTTGTTTAACACAAAGTACTTGCTCCCAAAAATATGGAAATAGGATATATTAGGCTTTCTCCCGTTCCACAGTTCATAGGGAGTTTTGTTGTGCCTTTTATAAATCATACTCCTATTTTGAGTGTAGCAGGCTGTGTTAACTGCTTCAGCCCAGAACCTCTTTGGTAAGGAAGCTTCTGCTAGCATGGTTCTCACTGCTTCCTTCAGGGTTCTGTTCCTTCTTTCAGCTACACCATTCTGTTGAGGTGTCCTTGCTGCAGATGTCTGATGAAGAATTCCGTTTTCTTCACAGTAGTGAATGATGATTTCATTCAGGAATTCTGTACCTTTGTCAGATCTGATCTTCTGAATGGTCTGACTTGCTTGGTTTTGAATCAGCTTCATGCAGTTGGTGAGTTTGCCTTGAGTCTCCTTCTTGCCGTTGAGGAAGATTGTCCACGTGTATCTTGAGTAATCATCAACTACCACAAGGACATATTTCTTTCCACTTAGACTTAGTGGTGTAACAGGGCCAAATAAGTCCATGTGAATAAGACTTAATATCCTTGTAGTTGAGGGTGCCGATTTTGCCTTGAAGGTGGACTTGACTTGCTTTCCTTTTTGGCAAGCATCACAAATACTTTCCTTTTTGAATGCAGCTTTGGGAAGACCTTCTACTAACCCTTCTCTGGACAGCTTGTTGAGAGTTTTGAAGTTGAGATGACTCAACCTCTTATGCCAAAGCCATAGAAGGTTAGTGTCACCTTTGCTGATTAGACATGCTTCCTTGACATCGCTCCATATTACTTCATAGATGTTTCTGATTCTCTTCCCAGTGAGAATAACTTCATTTGTGGAGATGTTCTTGAGAGATGCCATGTCCTTGCAGAATTCCAAGGAGTAACCTTTATCACAAAACTGACTTATGCTAAGAAGGTTGTAATTGATACCTTCAACATAAGATACAGCTTGGATGGTTAGTCCCTTGTACACCAGATTTCCTAGCCCTTTGGTAAGGCCAAAATCATTGCTTCCTCCAAAAGTAACTCTTGGACCATCATAGGGAATTAGATTGCTCAAAAGGCTCACATCACCCGTCATGTGTCTTGAACAGCCACTGTCTAAGTACCAGACACCTGGGTACTTAGTGGCTTCCTGCATTAGGAGGAGGAAGATTTTGGTACCCAATTAAGTTTGGGTCCGGAGTAGTTAATGGTGTGTGTCCCTACATCAAGTTTAAAGTTGCAGGGAATCTTCCTTGCAGCTCTAAACTTGTTGGGATTGTAATCATAGTTGTAGGCATAAAACTTCCTACGTGCAGGAGGGGTTATTTCCTGTTTCCTCCTAGCAAACCTAGGTTGATAAGACCTATAATTTTGTCTAGGTTGTGCATAGTGTGTCCTGTGTCGGTTATAAGCATACTTAGGTGGCACAAATAGCTTCTGGGGTGAAGGATGACTATATCTTGGCATAGTTCTCCACTCAGAATTTCTTGGAAAACTCCTGTCTACCCCAGGAGTTTTCTTCTGAAATTATTTCCTTTTTGAGGTCTGTCCAGCTTCCTATAGTTCTTAGGAGGGACTACCTTTTTGGGAACTTCTGTTGGTTTTTCTTTTTCCTTCCCTTTCTGCTTATTTGGTTTAGCAGTAGGTTTAGGAGGGATGAAGGTTGTTTTCCCTTTCCTTTTAGAATTGGAGGGGTCAAACCCAAGTCCTTCACGACCCTTATGTTTGGTCGTTTCAAGAAGCTTATCCACTGCTTCTTTGGACTTAAGAGTCCCTAGTTCTTTGTTAANNNGGATTTCACCTTTTCAGAGAGAGATTCATTTTCAGTCTTGAGTTGAGTGATCTCATTCAGTTGACTTTTCCGACCTTCAGTCAACTTGAGATTCTCTTCACTCAATAGTTTGTTCTCCTTTGTTAAGGAAGAATGTTTGAGATTTATCTCCTCAAAGTCTTTCATCATCTTTTTGAACTGGTCAAAAAGATTTTCAGAAGTTGGTATGCTTTCATAAGAAGATGAGCAGGAGGTCTGTGAGGTTACCTCTTGATCAGCATCATCTTTGGGCATTAGGCAGAGAGTGTCATCATCTGACATAGTCCACCTATCCTCATGGTTGGACTTTTCAGCTCTGCGCTCCATGCAGATGAGAGCTTCTTCATCCGAGCTTGAGCTGGATGACTCGTCACTTTCAGCAGCAACCATTGCCTTCTTTTTCTTCTCGATCCTTTCTCTTTCTCCGTACTTCCCCACTTTTGGGTACGGGCATGCTGACTTCCAGTAGCCAGGCTTCCTGCAATTGTAACACAAATAAGATTCAGGAGGAGAGTCACTTACCTGTGGCTTTCCCTTGGATGGCCTTTTGACTGAGTCAGCTTTCTTGAATAACTTTTTGAACTTCCGGAATTGCTTGACCATCATGGCAAATTCCTCATCGTAGTTCTCCATTTTTGAACTTGACAGCTGACTGGAGGAAGGTGTGTCACAGTTCCTTGGGCATGTCCCTTCACTTGATGGTACTCTTGGAGCTGTCATCAGTGTCGTGGGGAAGGGAGTGACTTGTTCTTCCTTCTTCTTCTTCAGCTCGTGCTCATAGGTTCTGAGCTCATCAAGAAGACCTTGGACAGTGTAGTTCTCCAGATTTCTTCCCTTCTTCCATGGCTGTGGCTTTGGTGTACCACTCAGTTGGAAGAGATCTCAGCAACCTTACATTCTTTTCTTTGGGAGAAAGAACGTGGTTAAGTGATGCAAGATCATTCAAGATTTTGTGGAATCTTTCATCCAGCATATCAAATGATTCTCCGGGAAGCATTTTGAAGCCTTTGAACTTCTCAAGCAGGACTTCTATCTTCTGCTTTCTCAAGTCCTCTGAA